CGGTCGTCTTTGGGTTTGAACGTCAGTTTCTTTCAGATGTTGCCGCCGATTCGAGTTCCGTAACTGGGGCGACGGGATTCAATATGCCGCCAGGATCCGACGACACACCCTCTGGGCATTCTAGGCCTCTTTCTGCTGCTGGCCATGCCTCTGGCGACGAGCCCTCGTGTGCTGTCAACCGTGTCGTCAGCCGTTCCCCTCGCCGCCGTGTCAGGGCTGACGCCGCTTCGTGTTCTGAGTTGTCCCCTCCTTCTAGCTCTGCTGTTCCGCGGTTTACGCGTACACCCGTTGACAGGACCCCTGCGGTGCTCAAGCTCCTGGCGGAGCCTGAGTCAAATAGTTTTGTGGAGCGTGACCGCGTGGAACAGGCTAGGGACTTTGTTGAGGGCGAAGGTAGGGTCTGGCCCTACCTTCAGGCCGGCGATGCGTTTGCGCTGCAGAGAGCAGCTGAGCGGGTTCGCACCGACAGTGAGTCGGATTCCGGTGCTGTAGAGGCAGACCTCGCGTTCTGGCTCCTCACTCCGGAGTATGTTCTTGAGACTGTGGTGGTGACATTGACCCCCCCTGCAGATGCCCAACAGGCATTGGAAGCAGTGCAAGAGCTGCGTGAGCCAGTCCGCGCTAGACTGTTTCCGTCATTGTCCATCGTGACGCAGCAACCGTTTCCGGGCACAGGGCTCCTCATTGCCCGTCCGGAGTGGGCCCTGAGGGAGATCGTGCTATGCTTGGACCTTCTAGATGTCGATGGTCGTCTCTACGCAGCCTGCGGCCCCTCAGTTGCATCACGGGACTTCTTGGTGGCGTTGGCGTGCGTGGATGCTCAGCTTGTTGACGTCTACATCGGGGCTAGACCGACCCCCATGAATGCACATGAAGAATGTCAGCTTTCGGACGGAGATTGTGTTTCCTTTGTTCCGCGACACTCACTGCCCGGCCCCTACTATCACTTGGAGGAGATGCTTCAGTCGGCTGCTGCGTGGGAGCAATTCCCTGCCGCACCCTTTGGCCCTGCTACGTCCTCCTTCTGTGTTGTCGGCGAGAATGGGCACAAAAGGGTTGAGGTGGACGACACCTCCCTCGTTGTCGACCGTGCCGCCCTGGTACGTGATTTCGGCCTCATCCCAGGCACGGCTCTCGTTCAAATGGCGCTTCCCCCGGCCAGCGATGTTGCCTTGAGCGGCTTTTACTGCCGGAATGCCTGCGCTGTTTCGGACCCTTTTGAAATTTCAGATGTAGGGCGCGAGGCTATCACTGCCCTGACGGTCATCGATTGCCGGGCCATGCTCCAGGGTTGGCAGCTGTGCGTTTCTACGGATGGCTTTGTGTCCTCTGCTGCTCTTCGGGAAGAGTTCTCGGTCTTCTGCCCCCCCTGGATGGTGTGTTCACCTGGAGGGACTGGAAGGCGAACAGGACCGCTGTCTGCTGAGCCCTGGTAGGGTGATCTATGCTTCGTATGTTCCCTTGCCACACAATCCCGAGGCTGCTGCTGTTGCCGAGGGTTTCGACAGTGAGGCTCCCACCGATGATGAGATGTTGTCGGCTCTCTCTGCTGGCACGAATTCACCTGGTTCTCCGCCAGTCGCTGGAGGCGTCGGACCCATCGAGCGACGTTCTCGTAGCCGCTCCCCCTACCGGGATAACTCTGTTTCCGAGCCGGGTGCTCTGACGTCCGCCCACGGTTACTTCGTTGCGCCCTTCTTGATCTTTTCTCAAGAGTACGCGCCCGAGCAGGTGAACCTCATCATGCCCGAAGGCCTTGATACCCACGAGGTGCTATTGCGTGTGCAGCGTTGTCGCGCAGATACCTCGCGGGCACGCTTTCCCGCCCTGGCGGTGGTTTTTCCTCAAACCTCCGGTGCATTTGGCGTTCTTTTAGCCTGGCCGGGTTGGTGTTCGGAGATCTTCGCCGTCTTTGATACGACTCAGGTCAATGGCGCCATTTTCTGTTGGGTCGTGTCCCCTGTCATGAATAGGGAATCCTTGCTGGCCGCGGCCGGATTGGCAGTCTACAGTGACAATGAGGTTTATGGGCCTGAGTCGGAGCGTCCTTTGCTTCCCTGCGAGGAGTGCCGAATGTTCAACGGCGGTTGTGTGTCCTTTGTGCCTGTCAGTGGCTCCCACTTCGTGGTCTCGACACTTGACGATATGCTGTTGTCGCGTGAGGGGTGGAGTGTCGACTCTGTCGGCCTGGGCATTCCCGGTCGCTGGGTCTATGTTTTGACTGACACGGACCCTTGGAGTATCGCGTGTGCTCTTGATAGACGGCGTTTTATGCGCCAGGAAATCTCTGAGGCGCTGACGATCCCTATCACGTCGCTTTCCCTTCAGCCGGCACGGCCGCCTGTGACTGACTTTTTTGACAGCGGTCGACATGCGGCAGAGGTTGTGATCGCTACTCCGAGGCAGGCTGAGCTGGAGGGCTGTCACTTCTTTCTTGACTTGCGCCCCATTTGTTGTGGGCTTTCTTGGGCTGCCTCCGCGGACTGTCTGGTTGATGTTGAGGCCATTCGCCAGCGATGTGCGCGTTCGGGGCTCCCTGCTAGCCGTGTCGTTGTCCGTGGGGGTATTGCTGTGGCGGACGGCCATGTTCGCGTCTTTGCAGGGGAAGTTCTTGAGGTGTGCCATGTGCCCGCTGACCCGGCCCATGGTGAGGGTGAGGACCATGAAGGTTCTTCCCCCCCCGATCCGATCCGAGGCATCGATGTCGAGGCTGGCTGTTACGCCTCCGAGAGTGCCGGGGCGTCGGATAAGCGTCGGCGTCAGTCTGACCCTGCGGAGGGGACAGCGGGTCCGTCTTCCAGCCCCGTCTCCGGGCCTCCTGAGAGCATGTCTGCTGAGGCGACGTCTGATTCCCGCCCTTTGAGTGGTTCTGCTGCGGCGGTTGCCGCCCGCCTACTGACTGAGCCTGTGTGCGGGAACCGCGAGCAGCTGCAGGCCCTCCAAGATTTGAGGTTTGTCACCACCGAGCTAGGAGGCGAATGGCCTTATATCCCGGTTGATGAAGGAACAGAGGACCGTGTCGGCACCGATGACGCAATGTCGGATGAGTTCCTCTTAGGCTCTGCTGTGCACTGGATGCGCGCGCTGGTGTTGAAGCCCCTTTTCGCTCCGGAGGATTTGCGCTTTGCCATCCGGCTTCCCGCTCTGTTGGAGGACGTCCGTCTTGCTGTGCGAGACGTCCGCCGACACGATCTGTCGGATGATTTCCCTACACTTCTTGAGGTCTTCCCGCAGCCTGTCCCTGGCGTTTGCACCTTCCTTGCTAACCCTGCTTGGTTGGGGCTTGCCATGGTTGCCTGTATCGATGCTCGAGACGTAGATGGTCGGCTTTTCGCAACGCAGGTGCCGGATTATCTGGACCTCGGCTTTGTCGTTGGTCGCCCTTCCAGCTGACTCTGATATCATGGTCATTGTTGGACTGGATGAGCAGCCTTTGATAGACGGCGTCCAGGCTCA